TCCCTAGTATCACTTGCTATATCCACGCAGCGAGGTCAGGACATGAGACCGTATTTCCCACGTGGTGAGGCACACATTGGACTGCAAGGCTCAATTTTTATGAGAAAACACTCAAATTGTTGGTGCCTGCCCAATAAGAAAAGACCGCTTAGTCCTGGGAGCAATGCACCAATGAACCTATTACATGCAAAATCATCAAGGACAAGTTCGAATGAACACAGCCAATCCCGAAGGTTGGATAAATTGTAATTAACGCGTATTGGCGCAGATCTCGGTCAGCCGCAGAATCCTCTGTTAGACACAGTTAACTGTTTTTTTTACACACCGCCACTCCGACGATGAGCCGAGGGACCGGGCTCGAAAACTTATGCGATAAAATTTGTAGTTTCCCGCTGAATTTCAAATCCCCCAAGTATACTGTAGATGTGCTACTTCCGAAATGCATGTTCTTTCCGGAAAGAGTGGAGTTGCTGTATTGAATATCGTACAAAATAAGCTCCAGATACTTCAGTCACGTCGGAATGCCGGCCTCTGTACAAGATATTTTACGGCCGCTTGCGAGAAAATTACCACTTAAGTAGTACGCATGGTTTTCATCACATCTTATGGAAAACATACAAAAAACATTTCTCCTTGTGAATATATGAGCATTGCCGATCTGGTAGTGGAGCAATTAAGTTCCGTTTCGCCCTGGAGCTCACAATTACAGCCGCGCAGATGGTCACGTAGCGACTACAAAGGTAGGATGGAATGGAGCCGACAAAGCAAACAGAGACGGGAATGGCCATTTTTGGCTTGTTAGCCGTCATGAGCTGGTCATACCCAATCTCAAGGGTTGTAACCGCCGAGATTCGAACCCGGGACCTTTGGTCATTGAATTTACCCCTCTAGCATTGCACCACGAGCTCGTTGCTGTGGCGGTGGAGATCGGGCATATGATAAATATATTGGCTTCGCCGATCTAGTGGAGGAACAATTAATTTCCACTTTGCCCTGGAGCTCACAATTAGAGCCCGCGCAGGCAGTCATATAGAGACTATGAAGATATGATTGGCTGATGGTGGCTATAGAGCCAGAAATTGCCACTCCGGTTTCTCTTTGTTTTTTCGGATCCATCCCATTCCTCGTTGCATTTAGTCCTTAACAGATTACGTCTTGTTTAAATGTTATACTTAAATAAAACATATACGGGTAATGGAATTTACTACAAAAAGACGAAAGATGTCCAAATGGCCATTTCAATGCATTTCATTAGCCAACCATGTCTCACTATAAAGTAATTCTCGCGTACAGCACCTGCGTTGTGCATAACCCGTGGGATGCCGTCGCGTTTAACGTTTGAACTGCCACGTCATAGAACCTTCAATAGTTCCAGTTCCACATAGGCTCGGTCGCGTTTAAGTTGGCTTTATCAGCCAATGGGCTCACGTTCACCTCTACCGCGGTGGCTTTGCCTTGCATCGAACGCAGCATGAACAGTGAGGCAAATTTTATCCAAACCATTCC